TCTTGTTGAGGTACTTGCAAATAAGCGTCCTTGATGTCCAACACCACAATAACCCAATCCGGGAAAAGAAGGTGCAGTATCAAAACTAACCTTGCTGCTGCACTTGAAGCTGTTTGGTGAAAATGTCTCTGCCGTTGAACTGGCTCCAGCACGATACTCTCGTGCTACAATACGACAACGACGTTTCCATCGTCCGTCTCTAAATCACCAATCGTATACCTCTCTGAGATCCATACGCTTCTCTTGTCCTGTCGCGTGTCCTTCCTGAAATTCTTCTATTACTCCGATTTTACTGAGCCGATTCAATTCTTCAACCGCTGCCTCTTGGTCTAGGGAATCCAATTCTTCGGGGCTCAATTCTGGCGGGGTTTCTCCTTGTTCGTTCTTCGGCATGTCCTCCATTACTTCTTCCATGAGATCTTCATACTCGATATCTTCTCCTTCTACTGCAGTAAGATCTTCATGCTCATACCAATGAAACGGGTCTTCTTCTTGTGATACCTTGCCTGCGAAAAGCGGCGGGTACAATGCCGTAGAGGGTGACGAAGGTTCTGACCTTTCATCTCGGGTCTTCTTGGCTGATGACTCTTCTTCTTGTAGTTGAGCATTCTCCAACGTACGCTTCTTAAACTCGTCGAGCATCATGTCATCGCTGACCAATCCTTCTACTGGAGCTGCTGGTGCATCTGTCATACTGGAATTAGATGAACTTGCCCTGCCTCCATCTGAGGCTCCTAAATTCGTATCAAGTAAATCCAGTACTTGTTCCAGCTGCTCTGTCTGGGACTGACCTCGATCTCCTTCTCGAACAATGGGTTCCTGCACAGTAGCTTCCTCAGCAATACTAGCAAGCGCGGGGGCTGGTAGTGGTTGTTTGACATAACTACCTTTAGGCTTCTTGGGGTTCCATGGAGTTACACTTAGCTTCAATACTGGTTCCTTTCTCCATCCAGTAGCAATTCTTCTTACTGATCCTGTCGCGAGAACTCCATCCTCGACGCCTACCAAGTGCAAATCCTGGGCATTCTTGCCTAGGTAGATTCCTCCAATCCAATTCGCCGTACCTTTCTTCTCGGGCTTCTTGAATGCAAAGACAGACTCTCCAAAAGGTGCAATCTTGCCAAGATACGGTCTTCCCACTACACTTTCATATGGTGTAGATCCAATGGCTGCATGGCGGTGATAGCTGTTGAGTAGCCATGAAGCATGGCAAAGTCCCCAGGCCCACATTGCATGGCCTTCAGGGATGTCAATGCCTAGCTTTATCTCGGCTGCTCTTACGAGGCATACAGTTTGGTTCCTTACTGTTTGAATAAATCTTTCCACTCTTGCTGTCCTACCTTTCTGATAAGGCTTGTTGTTCTGGTCATGTGTCTTTCTGTTCATCTTTCTCCTTGTCTCTACCACCGCTGTTACCAGGGATACCATCGCTTCCTTTGAGTCTCCAACGAATCCAACTTCGTCCAGATGTCCAAGACTGTGTACCCATTTCAGCACTCTCCACAGTTTTCCGTTCTGTCTGTTTTCCTGACACAGGGATAACGACTGACATACGCGTCCATGAACAAATACCAACCAGTGCGGGGGTATCCTTTCCTTGTAAGAACATAAAATCCAACTGAATAATGGGATACGGTACTCCAACAGAATCCTTGGCGGCTTCGGGGTTCTTTCTTTAGTGGTCTTGCTTGCTCTTGGCTTCTACGCAACTCTCACACCAATGTGCAAAAGTAATGTGTGTTGCTTCGTGTTCTAACCGTTCTTGTTCGGTTGGTTCATCAGGCTGAGCTTCTACTCTTACCTTCTCCTTTCCTTCACTCTTCAACTTCCGAGCAGATTTCTGCATTTCCACTCAGATAACGGGTTCCCATCGCCGTCGTAGGTTGGTCCTAATACTCCTTCACTCCTTCCTGGAGCGACCTTTGCCGGTACCACCGGTGTGCTCAATTCTCCCGGTACTCCCCGTTCCGGTTCCCTGAAAGGTGCTTTTGGTCCCCTTCCAACCATGTCCACTTTGAAGTCATTACAGAACGTGAACAAGTTTCCACTCGTCGCATGGAGGATAATACAAATTCTCTTTGTTACTCCGTAACATTCAGGAATACTCACACTGAGCTTCTTGTCCTTACCATAGTCAGAGTACAACTCTACTACAGACCATGCACTTCCTCCTTCTCCAATCATAGTGGTCCTGTACTTCCATCCGGGAAAAGCATTCCTTGGATCCATAAACGTAGTTCCTTGATACACAATATACGGGGTTCCGTTGTCCATGATCGTCCACTTACCATTTTGGACTCCTTGAGTTGAGTTAAAGCGAGAACGGAGTAGGTGGCTGACTTGCTGCTCCTGTGTTTTGCTACATCACGGGGCCACCGCAAAGCACTACAATCTACGAAGATTGCGCATCTCGAGGCCGTATGATACGAGTCGGAAAATCCAGCAAATGGCTTTCAGTGCAAATTCCATAGAAGGGAGAATAAAGGCGACTCTGAAGGTTTGTGGCGGCCAAAACCCTGAATGCCTGAATCAGCCTCGCACTGAATTCAATCCCTTATTGTCCAGAACTCCAAATCTTTGATGCTTCCTTCCGCCTACATTTTCGCATGAGTTATTGGAAGGTGTCTGGTGTGGACGTTCCGTTCCCATCATCATGCCAGTGCTGTCGGATGGGTGGATTACATGCACGGAAACGCAACGCAAGAATGTCTGTAACAAAGAGGAAGCGATATCCAAACATGCGGGATACATCAACAAAAAGGGGCCTCGGAATACACGGAAAAGCAACACGCACGAGACAGGAGCGTGGAAAGATCATGTGATGTGCGGGAAAGGTAGCACAAATTCAAGCAACTACAAATGCATGCATGCATGCAGGCAGGCAGGCAAGCCAGCCAGCCAGCGAGCGAGCGAGCGAGCAAGATGAAGAAGAAGAAACCAGCCTCAACAACAGCAGCAAGAGCAAGAGCAAGAGCCAGAGCCAGAGCCAGAGCCAGAGCCAGAGCCAGAGCCAGAGCCAGAGCCAGAGCAACAGCAACAGCAACAGCAACAGCAACAGCAAGAGCACCAGCACTAGCACCAGCAACAGCAACAGCAAACAGAAAAAAAACAACAGAGACAACGTCAGCCCCCAAGGTCGACTCATCGGACGGCAAGATGGGCTCTTGCTTCGTTTGCCCAGACAACCTCGAAAGCGACATCTGCAGGAGCACCAGCACAGGCACAGACTGCACATACGGATACACTGGTACGTTGTGCACAAGCTGCTCAGACGGATTTCGGTCTGTTGGCTATGCAAGCTGCAAGAGCTGCGGCGAAAGGGAGATGAAGCGCGGCCTCATGCTGGCTGCAGTGGGCTTCAGTGTGCTAGTGGCGCTATGTGTCATGCTGTGGTATTTCGTGTGGCGGCCCCCGGAAAAATCAGCTGTGGAGCAAGGCCATCGTGTTCAGGAAATGATGGAGCAGGGCCTTTTGCTTCTCAACCATGTACAGATCCTCGTGGCGCTGAAGTCCATTGAAAGCATCAACACGCGAAGGAGTATCTTCCACGAGATCTTGCAGCTGCGTGCCGAGTTCCTCATGCAGCTCCTGCCTGTTCAGTGCTTAGCCGGGCACCAACGAGGCCGCGAGATCGAGATCCTGGCCTCCATCTACTGCCTGCCGGTGTTGTGGGTTCTTGGCCTTGCTGTGGCCACCTGCCGAGGCAGCCCCTTCCTCGCTCTGAAGTTCGGCATTGCGGTGACATCCGTGCTTCTCATCGGGACCATGCAAGTGGCATTTACCAACCTAAGCTGGTGCATGGATGAAGTAGGCAACAAGAAGCTCGCTGGCAATGCATTCCTGCACGAGAGGCCCTTCCAGAGGTGTACCGACACCGACCCTGACCCGCTGGCCCCTGCATTGCTCGTCAGTGTCGGCATCAATGCTGGTCTCATTCCGACCTGCCTGGCCCTGACGGGCTGGTACATCAGCCGCCGCATGCAGCGGGTCCACAGCCTTGCAGGGTGCATTGTTCCAGGCCGATTCACGGCAAATCATGTGGATCACATCGAGCTCACTCTCTGGGAAGGTGTGTCTGACGCTTCGACAGCATCACAGGACCTCGGAAAGTACGAGCACCTCCCCAAAGCGGCCCTGTGCATTTATGCTGCGTCCCACGCAGCACACCTCTCGGAGCTCATGGGTGCCAGCACTGTCGAGGCGTCTTTGCAGCATGTGCGCACGAATGCTGTCTGGGCTAGACCCCTGCCTCGTCAGGTTACCCAGGCGCAATCGCACTTGAAGATCCATGTGCCAGTTTCGGAGAGCTGGAGCACTCTTGCGCCGAAATATCAGCAATCCTGCCTGGCGATGATCCGAAAGGAGGCGGACATGATTGGAAGCTCGCTTGCAAGAACCACAGACCCCAATTTCTCGCTGGTGTTGCCACTGGATCTCATGTTCTCAACAAAACCGCACACCAAAACCAGTGTTTGCGAAGTTGAGCGACATCAACTAAGCAAGCAGCCTTACATCGGCAAAGGTGCAGTCCCCGGGCCAAGTGTATCCCCCACTGGAACGCTGTGCCCTTGCCGGTAATACCATATCCAAACACACGGAGGCCTCACGTCCCAGAGGTGCCAAACTTCAGCAGTACCAAGACGGGCCCAAGGGTTTGAAGAAATTCGACGAGCCGAAGCGTTTTTAGCGACTGTGGTTGGCAAGAGGCGAAACATGTGTAAGTCTATGTCGTGCCGTCAGCCTTTCCCTTCACTGTCCTGAGGCAGGAATCTACTGTTTCGCTCAATGGCCAAGCACGTGCTCCAGGAAGGGCCTTTGTGGCTTGCAACGAGAAGTTCCTTCGAACGCTTTGCGGACAAGGACGCAGAGAGCCATATAAAGTTCCCTCTAGGCATCAGCATGCTAGTGCTGAAGTTTATGGGACGACTGCCAGGACCCGCTGCTTTGCGAAGGCATGCAAAGGATCGTTCTCCTGGGCTTCGCACAACTCTGCTTTAAGGGCAGAGCAGAGCATTTTAGCTGGACTGCCCTTTTTCTGCTTCTTGGCTGCATCTCTGCTTCTGTTGGTTCCAGAAATTGCTTGGTTTGGGCGCCAGCCCCAAAATCCACAGCTGATATGTCAATCCGGGCAGCGAAGCCAGTGTCAAGACAGAATGTAAACACGCTGTTGGGGCGGATGATTTCGGAGTTCGGGCAAGTTTGTTAGGCTTTGTGTGGCTGTTGAAACGGGTCTTCGTGTAGCAGCTTTGTCTGACACGCGGCTGGCCCCATTGAGTTAGTTATAGTCATCATGATCCTTGAGTTGGGTTTTTCTGGCCTGGGACATTGTTTGGGCCCGAAGACTCCCGCAGGTTCTTCTTCGGCTGGGGCATCTTTTTCGGCAAGCCTTATGGGAGCCGCTCCCGAAACAATTTGGCTGCTATCTGCTACATCTCTCTGAGCTTGTTTACCTTCTCCATGTGGCTTGTACTAAACAGTCATTTGCATTGCAAATCGCACGTGAAAGGTTAAAAGAGCTGCTTGTTGCCAGGTGGGTCACCCCATATATGGAAGACACCGTGGCGGCTGTAATAAGTATCGCAGGATATGCAGCGGCAGTGTTTCCCCTCCTCTACGGCTTGCACTTGCACCTGATGCCGGGCGACATTGCTTTGCAAGTGTATGCTTTCCTTCCAGCAGTAGAAAAGTTAGTGTCAGGAACTCCGAAGACAGAGACTCAGAAATTAATGCTGCCGCCAATCCGTTGGCAGCTCGAACAGCACTTGTCCTGTGTGCATGGGCTGCTGACATGCTACCGTGAGTGCATTCTTCTTTTGCAAACCCAGCAGATGCAAGCAGACTCACAAGCAGAGCTGCTGGCTGGCAAACAGTTGAGCGGCATTCGACGGTGGATGTGAATCGGTTTCGGTCTGTATATAGTCGATCTGAACAAAACAGCGCAAAAATGCCGTTGCTGAAACGGATTCCATGTTCTGTGGAAAGCCTCATGCTCTCTTCCTGTTGCAAAGGCCAGGATGAGAGGCCAGAGAGGCCGCTGTGAGGTCGCAGGCTCGGGGGATCCAGGGGACACGACAAAGGGGGGGGATCCATGGCCCTGCTGGTAGATATGAATGCTTTCGGTGCATTGCTCAAGGCTTCGGCTCGGAACAATGACCTAGCCTTTGTTGTCTGCAAGCTGGCGATGGGTTCGGGGGCTGCTGCCTCCGCACCTGCCCTAGCTCCCCTCTTCCCTTAGCTCCTTTGCCGGGCCGATGTCGTCTTTCCAGTCGGCTTTCCTCGCCCTGGCGCTCGCTTTAAGCTTTGCCTGTGGCCACCGACCGGAGGCCGGGGGCAATGGACTCTGCCCCTGCCGAATCATGTCACATGCCTTGACTTGTTTGGTTGAGGCTGTGCCTTCGTGTGCCGCTGAAGTTTAGAGCCTGTGTCAGGAACATCTCCAGCGCCTGGCCACTTCGCAGGCTGCGGCGGGACCCTCGCAGGTGTCAGGGCTTTTAGGGCTTGACACTGGGCTTTCGTCCGGTTTGTGTATCTGTGTATCCGTGCCCCCCTGCATCAGTGTAGCCCGAAATAGCATGAGCCCTATTTCAAGGATGTGCTAAACTAGGGCCCCTACATTAGTATGTAGTGTCCCTAGAAGATCAAGACTCTTTTTAGACCTTGAAAGTGTGTGCTTGGGGGAGAGCCCGGCTACCAAGTCGTGGAGACATGCAGGGCGACGATTGTGGACACCTCTTCGACTCGCAGTGGCAGGCCTGGAAGGTGGCTGTGGACGTGTGCGCAGGCATGTGTTTTTCCTTTTGTGCACTTGAACTTATGTTCCAAGAAGCTCGCGGCAGCTTGATCGTGATTGAGGGACATGTTGCACGTGGCTTCTGTGAGGGCAGATGCAGCTCTGCATCTCTGCATCTTGTCAAACCAGTAAGAATTGCTGGTGTCATTGCTGTTGCAGGCCATCGAGTACTTGAGATCCTTCTGGGTGGTAGCTGGATCCGATTCGACGAGCTTTGCAGGATGTTCCCCGCAAAGCAACGCTACAATTGCCTTAGGGTTCGGTTTTGATGTAACCTGTCACATGGGAAACATCGTCGCGGTGAACATCAACATCCCATCCGCCACCGCCAGACTTCGCCATCTGTCATGTGCACTGTCTGGACTCCAGAACGTGCATGCACTGTTTCTTGCCAACTCTAACATTTCCGGGAAGATCGGCGAATTGAACTTCTCCCGGCTTCAAGAGCCACGGAAATTGGACTTGCGACACTGCAATGTCGATGTTCACTTGGGAGAGCTTGGTGCTTACACGTTCGAGGTCCTGAAGCTCTCAGGAAAGCAGGTTCATGGTTCCGTTCGCGACATGAACTGGAAGAAGCTGAAATTTCTTGATCTGCGTGACACTAATGTGACCGGCGACGTGTCAGACGTCTCCGATGTTCCCTTGTCCTCGCCCTTGAAAGGCCTGTGGCTCCAGAATACTCGTGTCGAAGGGGACATCCAGGTGTTGGTCGAGAAGCACGGGGACCTCATGTACCTAAATGTCGCACATACCCTTGTCGCAGGTATGATAAACGACTCATGGATAAATGAGACCATGGGGCAGAAGCTGTGGGAGTTGAATGTGAGCAACTCAAGCGTCGGCTTCAATCTAACCAAGCCGCGTGACACACCCGCCGCGTTTCCCGAACTGATGGTCCTGGATGTAAGCTTTCTCCCTCTCAAGATGAACGTAAAGAACTTGATCTACCCTCTGACCAACCATATGTATCTTTCCATCCTGCATGCCGTGCAGTCTGAACTACATGGTGAACTCAGCGGCACGCTGAGGCACCGGGGTCGCCCGGTGTATTGCCCACTTACCGACTTAAGAATGAGGAACAACAGCATTACCAGCCTCACCGAACAGCCGCGGAAGTTATTTTTGGACGTCGCCTTCAATCCGGTGATGACCATTGCCGACGAGTACTTCAAAGCGCCCTTACTTCTGGACATCCGGAGCACGCAGTACACTATCACGGAGGACCGGACGGGCTTGGCGTTTAGGGGTAAAGCGGGTAGAAGCCCCCTTCAGGTCGCGAAGAAGGATCCAGGAATTCGTCCCGCGGAGGTTGCATCCATTATCTATAATTAGACATTAGACTGTCGCAGCAGGATCCCCAGACAGGAGCAGCTCGTTGCCGCATGAACCAAGCATGTGACAATACTGCAATATTCTCTAGACCATAAGGCCGTGAATGTGCAGCCTGATCATGATTTCAACGTCAGCATGCCAGACTGCCAGGACAAGTTCAAGAAGCTCTTTGAACCCACAAACATCACGATACGCACCTCAAAGGCACCGTGACAGGTTGATGCATCGTCATGCTATGGCAACTCTTTGCCGGCTTGCAGTTCGATATCAGATTTCTTGCAGCCTCGAATGCCAGGAATGGACCTGCAAGGGTGTGCAGCTCAAAGGCAGAAGCGATCCTCTGCTCATGGACTTTGATCCGAATGCGTCTCTGCTTCCAAAAGTCAGATGCATCGTGGGGATCATAGGGGTTTGCAGGGAAGAACTGTCCGGAAGTGTCGAAGCCTTTCTGTTTAGCGTGCAGTGTGGCATGCAAAGTGCGAGTTTGCCTGTCCATATTGTCGGACTGGCCGACACGCAAGCCACTGGCATGATCAGGTATGAGTTTCGCAGTTGCCATCATGATCCCTGATGGTGCAGGTATTTGCTCCAAGTTTGTTGTGCAAGTGCAATGACGGCTTCACGGGAGAAGGCGGGAGAATCGATTGACTGGATCCCTTTATTTGTAGCTGCGGCTCACCGTCGGACGAAGAACCCCGAACTAGTCGTAGGCCCGGGCCTTGCTGTTTGGAAACGTTCAGGCTGCTGGCTCTTTGATTTGTTGCGCCAGGCACCACCTGCTCGCCTTCTTGCACTCACGGCAAGGTAACTGCGGAGGACAATGTCTCTGCCTGCGCCTGTGACGTCGGGCAGGCACGGATTGACAGAAGAGTGTGCGAAAGGAAGAGTAAAGATACTAACAAAGGTATTGTTGAGGCGATCTCATGTATGTCGACTGTCTAGGTCCGAAGTTTTGAACTTCTTGCCGAAGATGAGTTCCTGCTCCTGCAACGCCTTCATTACACAGTGAACGCGAGTTTTCTGGTCTGATACCGTGTCTTCTGATGTCGAAGTCTTTTGGCGGGCTTTGAAATTGCACAAGTTGCAGCTTTCGCTCGTTGAGTTTTATCCAAGCTGTGTGTCACGAGACGCTGTCTCCAGCTTCTTGTCCAACGTGTGCCTGGATCACTGCGTGGGTGCGGGCCCGGTCTATGTCACTGGATGGTCGTCGGAAGGGAGGGGAACGTGTGTTCTGCGCCACCTTTCGCGGATCTTACAGTAGAAACTTCGGTGTCTTTCTCGGTCCACTACCTCCGAATGTGCTTAAACCTTTCGACTCCAGCCATTGCAAAGCTCAGCAGTTTGCAACAGTCGTTGCGATTGTGTCAATCTCGAAGGGCTGAGCAGGCACTTCCAGCTGTTGTTTTAGCGGAGTGGGGAGGCTTGCTGGCAAGCACCGGCAGTCTCCCAAATTTCCCGCGCAACTAGCAGCCCGTCAGACTCGGGATGTAACCCAGGCCTGCTCGTGCTCTTGCTTTGAAACCCAAAAGCCGATACCCCGGAGCCCAAGTTTTAAGACCTTGAAGTAAGTCCTGCCCCAAAGACGCTGGTCACGCAGTGCTTCCGACAGCGGTCTGACTCAGGAAGGGTTCGTACGGTATACGCAATGAGCTCTTCGAGTTGTGTTCCATATATTTAGCGTGGGATAGCGGAGGGCTTCCGACGAGACTCACATAGTGCTCGTGTACTGGAAAGCCAGTGTCGCGGTATGCTCGGGTTTTTCTGCCCGTCACGACCATGTCATGTCACTGTCAAATCCTTCAGTCGGACAGGCACGCTTGCCGGCAGGGCTGGACGAGGCATGCTGCCAAATCATGGTCTCGGCTTGTCATGTTTTCGGCATGCGGCATGCTGCTGTACAGTAGTCCTTTGCATCATTCTGAGGTGGAAGGAAGCCAAGAGTTTTCATGCGTCGACTGTGTTGGGGAGATGAAGAGCGAGAGCTGCGCGAATCTTTCAGAACACACGGATTGCAGCCATGGCTTCCACGGCACATTGTGCGCAAGCTGCTCAGACGGATTTCGCTCTGTTGGCTATGCAAGCTGCAAGAGCTGTGGAGAATGGGAGATGCACCATCGCGGCCCCGTGCTCACCGCAGCGGGCTTGAGTGTGTTTGTAGGACTATGCTGCACTCTGTGGTATTTCGTGTGGCGCCCGCCGGGAGAATCAGACACCGAGAAGGGTTACCGGACGGCGGAAATGATGGAGCAGGGCTTGTTGCTCCTGAGCTATGTCCAGCTCCTGACAGGAGTGCAGGCCACCCAATCCTACACAGCTCAGTCCCAACGCAGCCCGTGGAGCGAGATCTGGCAGCTGCGTGCCGAGTTCGCGATGCAGCTCCTGTCCGTTCAGTGCTTAGCCGGACACCAGCGAGGCCGCGAGATTGAGATCCTGGCTTCCATCTACTCCCTGCCGGTGTTGTGGGTTCTTGGCCTTGCTGTGGCCACCTGCCGAGGCAGTCCCTTCCTTGCTCTGAAGTTCGGCATTGTGGCGACGTCCATGCTATTCATCGGGGTCATTAAGGTGATCTTTCCCAACTTGAGCTGGTGCGTTCGGAAGGCAGGCGGGAAGGAGCTGGGGAAGCTGGCGTTCTTTCATGAGAGGCCCTTCCAGAAGTGCACGGACAGCGACGACCCGTTGGCCCTTCATTTGCTTCTTGGCCTCAGCATCAACGCTGCTCTCATTCCGGTCGGCCTGCTTCTCACGGGTTGGTACATCGCACGACGCATGCGCTCGGTCGATAGCCTTGCTGGATGCATCCGTCCAGGCCGTCTTGCCAGATGCGGTGCGGACTCTGTCGAGCTGATCCTGTGGGAAGGAGTGCCCACAGATGTCGCAGCTTCAATCGATCTCGGGAAGTACGAGCACCTTCCAAAGGCGGCCCTATGTGTGTATGCCGCCGCCCACACAGCACACCTCGCCGAGCTCATGTGTGCTAGCAGTGTGGAGGCTCCTCGGCAGCAGTTTCGAAGTCACTCTGTCTGACCATTTCTCCGCCTCGTCAGGTTGCGAAGACGGAAGCTGGGCTGACGATTCGGGTTCCTTTTTCAGAAACCTGGGCCATGCTGGAGCTCAAGTACCAGCAGCACTGCATGGCTGTAACGCGAATGGACGCAGACATGTTGGGAAGCTAAGATGCACTGGGAGTAGGAAAGCAGCACCGTCGGAAACGTTGTGCCGAAGCACAGTCTGCCATCTTTCCCTAAGGCAGAAACCTACTTTTCCGTTTGATGGCCAAGAACGTGCTCAAGGAAGGCCCGCTGTGGCATGGAACGAGAAGCTCCTTCGAGCGCTTTTCAGACAAGGCCAGGATGGCATGCACCAATGCAGTGCAGACAGTAGAAGCGTGGTGCGGATTTCTGGCCTTAATTTTGCCTTTGTACGAGTTAAGTGCCAGCTCTGGCAGGACCCTCTGATTTGCGAAGGTGTGCAAAAGGTCGTGATCTTGTGTATGGCGCAGCTTTGCTTCAAGGGTGAGGTGAAGCAATTCGGTTGGACTGCTCTGTTCTTGCTTCTGGGCTGCATCTCTACCTGTTGGCTACAGGAAACGTGTGGTTTGGTCAAAACAACACGTTGAGGTTCCTCGTTGGCTGGGGCATCTTCAGCACCAAGCCGTATGGTAGCCGATCCAGGAACAACTTGGCAGCTGTCTGCTACATCTCTCTGAGCTTGTTTACCTTCTCCATGCAGCTTGCATCAACTAGTAGTACACGCTGGGTACAGTCACATGTGAGAAACACGAGGTGGATCGCAACAGCTATGAGTGGTGAACGTGCTGCTGCAGCGTCAGCCCGTATCGCAGGAATGGGAGCAGCCATGTGCCCCTTTCTGTATGGCTTACACCTTCATCTAATGCCAGGTGACGTTGCGTTGCAAGCCTATGCTGTGTTGCCCATGATTGAAGAAGTGCTTTCGGGCCGTGTAGCAGAAACACAGACAGCAGAGCTTCCGCCGATTCATTGGAAGATTGAAGCATGGTTGCCTTGCTTGCACACACTCCTGATGCACTACCGCGGGTGGAGTGCTAGGATGCACTCCCGTCAAATGCTTGTGGACTCCAGTGGGCAGTCGCTGGGACGTGGTGGCCTACAAAGCATTCGGCGATTGCTGTAAACAACTCGTTTGGGCTGGTATGAATGATACCTGTGCAGAGTAAGTAAGTCGCCGCGACGGAAAAACCATTGCTTGCTTCATGTCTTTGTGACGACGTAGGTTCCTTTGTTCCCGCCGCATGTTCCAGACACACGTCCCGCAGAGCCGTGCTCATCTCCAGCCATTCGGCGACTGGTGCATCCATAGTTTCATATTCGATCATGGCACGATGCCGCGCTTCTGCTTGGTCGCGCTCGTGGCATTAGGTGCCACGCAGTATCTTGTGCACGGGGCGAGGCCGAATAGCCATGCAGCCTTGCCAGCCTTGCCAGCCTTGCCGTGGGAGGCATGGCAAAGTTATTTGTTTCCGTCTACACCTTGGAGAGAGCACCCAGCGAGCCCGGCCGAGGAGCTGCAGAAAAGCTTGAGCGCCAGGTTGGCGGGGGCCGAAGGACAAGAGATCGCTGAAAAGGCCGTCGATGAGGCGCAGAAGCAGGAGCAGAAGCTCCGAGAGCTGGTTGCCAACATCACAGGAAGCTCGCAGAGTGCAAGTGCAAATCTCTGCTATGGGCAACTCGGGGGGGCAATGGCCAGCTTGACGCAGGCATGCGAAGGCGCGAAGCCAGAAGCCGACTGGCTTCTTGATTACTACGACACAATTCTGCCGAAGAAGACCTGCAATGAGAGCGTCGCCGACATCTTCGCTGCAGGAAGAGCCTTGGTCGAGACTCTCCACGTCTCCAGGCATGCGGTGGCTGCCTTGAAACTGGACAACAGGACGCTTCGTCGGTATCAGGCACTCTCCTTTCTGAGGAGTTGGCTGGTCAACCTCACCCGGACTTCGCACCCCGCGATGCTGTGGACTGGCTTCTGGGATGGCGACCCCAACAACCGCACGACGAAAGAAAAGCTCTCTGAGTTTGCCCACGAAACGGACCACGCCATTGTGCACCCGGACAGCTTCCTTGGCCGAGTCGTCGAGGAGGGCCAAGACCTCGATGCCTGCTACGTGGATGACCTGACTAAGTCGCTCGCGAGCAACATGTGGGCCGTGGTTAGCATGAGCTTTGTCCTCGGGATGCGCGAGAAGGGTCAGGGCACTGTCGTCTCGCTGGTCAACAAAGATCTTACGGGAGAGCGCCGCTTGTCCAAGTCCGTGCTGTTCGTCCATGAAATGCCTACCGTGGGTCTTGCAGCCTGGGGACTTGGGTTTTGGTCTCCGAAAGTGGTGCTCGTGGACCTCATGGGCACCTGCGACCAGACCAGCCCTGCGCTGCAGATGCAGCTCTTCGCCCGGCTGCCCACTTGGGCCAAGTCCATGCCTCACTGGAGCCGGGGGGCCTTCGCGTTGAGGTCGCGGCTTCAGTGGCAGTGCATCGACTGCTCGGGCGCCTGCAGCCTGGACAAAGCCTTGGCGGAGCACGTGGACACGCTGGTCAAGGCCTCTCATGTGCTTGTGGGGACCGCTCGATTCGTGTCTTAGACTCGCTCTTTTCAATTCTTGTGCCTCGGAGGCCAAGGAGGAGCGCGACCGGAAGGACCAGGAGCTCCGCAAGGCGGGCATTGAAGGGTCCCGACAGTGAAGGAAGGGTGCAGCTCTGCAGGGCTACCGTAGGCATGACCGCTCCCGGCAGGCCGTGGATCTTAAGAGAGCGATATTCGCCGATGCTGGGCAAAGCAACGAGGAGTTGAGCCTCGGCCGCGAGCTGGCCGCGATCCTGAGAAGAAATGGGGACGCCAGGTCCGCAGAGGTGGAGGAGCACGTGGAAGCTCTGTGGATGAAGCTGCATAACCAGTTGATGAAGCTGCATGACCAAAGCACAACGTTGCTGAGGGGGTTCCAAGATCTCGACGGTGCGACGAAGCTGCAACGAGTGGAGCAACTTCTTCATCAAAAAGCAGACCCTAGTGCCCCGGACCGGATGGGCCTCACAGCCCTCATGAGCGCTGCACGTGAGGGCCTCCGTGGTGTGGTCGAGGCGTGTGTGAAGGCGGGAGCCCAACTTGATGCCCGCGACGAGCTAGGTCGGACTGCCTTAATCCACGCTGCAGAGAACCGCCACCTTCACGTGGTCAAGGCGTTGCTGCAGGCCAGGGCCCAGCCAGACATCCGCGATGAGAAAGGCAACACGGCCCTCACCCGAGCCGCTGCAGGAGGCTACCTTGAAATGGTGGAGGTATTGCTTGTGGCGGGAGCCCAGCTGGAGGCCCACACTGAGCGTGGCTGGACAGCCCTCATTGCGGCTGCAATCCACCAGCACCTTGAGGTCGTTGAGGCGTTGCTGAGCGCGGGAGCGCAACTGGAGGCCCGCGATGAGGAAGGCAACACAGCCCTGATCTGGGCTGCAAGACGGAACTGCCAGGAGGTGGTGGAGGCATTGCTGAAGGCCGGAGCTCGGCCCGAGGCCCGTGATAAGCATAATCGGACAGCCTTCGACTGTGCCCAAGAAAATAAAAACCGGGAGATCGCGGACATCCTGAAGAAGCACTTCGCGGAGCAATGAGGTGATTGGATCAGTCGCGATGAGTGCGGAAGAACGGCCTAGTCCAGTGTGCCTTGTATTCGCATGCCCATGTTCCGGACTGAAGGCCCGGCCTCCGGAGAAACAGGGTGTGCATGTTGCGGAGGTCAGCGGATCCCGGCTTTCTAGGATCGCCTCGGAAGAAGTGGCGCCGAGGAAGACGAGCTTGAAGGGCCCGGCCGCGCAGCTCAATGCCGGCTCCTCAGCATCCTGGCAGAGTCTCTGTGACTCTTACTCTTTCGCTTTCTCGCGGTGAAGGTTGTTGGGTTTTGTCCGATTTGTTAGACATCGCTTCATGTTTGGCGACCCTGCGCCGTCCGATCAGGCAGTTTAGATGCTCCCAGCACGCATCTAGTCATTTCAACAGCAAGTCGTCAGTAGCACCCTGATTGTCAGAGGCCTCCCTATCCGTTTGTTCATTCTTGCAGGGCAGCCGGGTCGATGTAGCTTCGTTCTGCTACACCTGGGGTGTCAAAAGCAACTTGAGACACTCATGGTCCGGCAGATCTTGTCTTTGAGAGAAGGATGCCGTGGAAGCAGAGCAAGCAGTGCCTCGCGAATCTCCCCATCACGACCTTCCTTGTCCAGAATGTCGGTCTGTCGCGGGCTCGAAGCAAGTGCAATGCTTCAGACATGGCGACTCAATCACGCTTACCAGCCCCTGTTGCACCTCGCTGTTCCTATCATGTGCGTGCAGTAGCATCATAAAAAGCGCTCATGGAGCGAATGCTTAAGCTGTTCTTGGCTGTGTGTCAACTTTAGATTTGCATGCACAGGCTCGTTCCGGTCGGCATCTGCGCGGTTGCATGTGAGGCACCCGCACCAGGGCCGGGTGTCAATGGAAGAGCCCTCTGCTACCTTCTGCTCGTTTCCTAATCCTGAGGGATCCGTTTGCACACGTTGAGCCGCGAGCTGGGAGCCTGACGAGTGCGTCTGACTTTGAAACCCAGGCCCACTAAAGCCCCAAACAGAGTGCATGTCCTGCAGCGATTCTGGCTCTCACAAGTGGTTCCTGGAAGGGTTAGCAAGACAACACCTGATCGGCATGGCCTGGGAGGAAGCACAGCTCGGCAAGATTTTTGGCCCCAGCGGGAAGCTGCACAAGCAGCCTCAAGTGCTGCAGCTCGCGAAGGAGTGTGGCCACGAGCCCGCCCATGCGTTTCTGAATCGGATGGGGATGCATCTTGTGTGTACTGGTTTTGACAAGCAGGGCTGCAGCTCCATGCCCCTGAGGCTTTTGGCATCTACCAGCACCTGGCAGTTTCGGATGGCAGCTCTGCGGAACTCATGAAGGCGTTCCAGCAGGTTTTGGGTCATCTGGGCGCCTTGGAGCCAACAAGTTCAGGTCAGGGCCCGTCATGCCTGTCTTCGTCGTCCACCCGACATCTGAGGTGACCTTGCGGAAGTCTTGGAGGACAGCACGGGGCCCGAGACCGACCAAATGCTCCGGGACATTTGCAACCTCTTGCGCTGGGATTTCTCGAAGAAGGTGCTGCGCCTGAAGCCCAAGGTGCCGGGTTGCCGCATGTTCATTGCATCCTATGCCGAACCTCCTACCTGTCTTGCCATCTAAGGACTCTACCTGTTGGCTACCGGAAACATGTGGTTTGGTCTAAACAACACGTTGAGGTTCCTCGTTGGCTGGGGCATCTTCAGCACCAAGCCGTATGGTAGCCGATCCAGGAACAACTTGGCAGCTGTCTGCTACATCTCTCTGAGCTTGTTTACCTTCTCCATGCAGCTTGCATCAACTAGTAGTACACGCTGGGTACAGTCACATGTGAGAAACACGAGGTGGATCGCAAACGCTATGAGTGGTGAACCTGCTGCTGCAGCATCAGCCCGTATCGCAGGAATGGGAGCAGCCATGTGCCCCTTTCTGTATGGCTTACACCTTCATCTAATGCCAGGTGACGTTGCGTTGCAAGCCTATGCTGTGTTGCCCGTGATTGAAAAAGCGCTTTCGGGCCGTGTAGCAGAAACACAGGCAGCAGAGCTTGCGCCGATTCATTGGAAGAAGGAAGCATGGTTGCCTTGCTTGCACACCCTCCTGATGCACTACCGCGGCTGGAGTGCTAGGATGCACTCCCGTCAAATGCTTGTGGACTCCAGTGGGCAGTCGCTGGGACGTGGTGGCCTACAAAGCATTCGGCGATTGCTGTAAACAACTCGTTTGGGCTGGTATGAATGGTACCTGTGCAGAGTAAGTAAGTCGCCGCGACGGAAAAACCATTGCTTGCTTCATGTCTTTGTGACGACGTAGGTTCCTTTGTTCCCGCCGCATGTTCCAGACGCACGTCCGGCAGAGCCGTGCTCATCTCCAGCCATTCGGCGACTGGTGCATCCATAGTTTCATATACGATCATGGCACGATGCCGCGCTTCTGCTTGGTCGCGCTCGTGGCCTTAGGTGCCACGCAGTATCTTGTGCACGGGGCGAGGCCGAATAGCCATGCAGCCTTGCCAGCCTTGCCGTTTCCGTCTCCACCGTGGAGAGAGCACCCAGCGAGCCCGGCCGAGGAGCTGCAGAAAAGCTTAAGCGCCAGGTTGGCGGGGGCCAAAGGACAGGAGATCGCTGAAAAGGCCGTCGATGAGGCGCAGAAGCAAGAGAAGAAGCTCCGAAAGCTGGTTGCCAACATCAGAGGGAGCTCGCAGAGTGCAAATCGCTGCTATGGGCAACTCGGGGGGGCAATGGCCAAGTTGACGCAGGCATGCGAAGGCGCGAAGCCAGAAGCCGACTGGCTTCTTGATTACTACGACACAATTCTGCCGAAGAAGACCTGCAATGAGAGCGTCGCCGACATCTTCGCTGCAGGAAGAGCCTTGGTCGAGA